TTAAACGCTAATGATTATTTCGTTGTGACATTTGGCACAGATGTCACGCACAGTCGTACCAACTTAGAAAAAACATATTTCGGCGTATGGGTTTTCATACGAAATTTAAACTAAAAAATTACTATTTTCTGCTCAATGGCATAATTTCATTATAGGTTATAGAGCTATAGATATCGCAAACGCTTACGACTTTAAAGTTCACAAATTCCTAAAGCTCGAACATTTCAACAATCTATTTCGCTACATTTAACACACTTTAAGCACTTGATTCACTTCAAATTAATTTAATTAAACTATAAAAATTTAAACAAATTCACAGTTTGCATATAATAAACAAATAAATATTATAAGGTAATATTACGTAGTAAAATACTTAGGTTAGCTAGGGTATTGGCTCGATCAAGATTATTGTTTTAAAGAAGTACTAAGCGAAAGTCAACCCGGGTATTGCCTCGACCAGGCGGACGAAGGCCGCCAACGCTGAAAGGATTAAATTAAACTTAAAAATGTATGAAAAGAATTTTTGTATAGTTAATAAAGAAAAAGAATCACGTGAAAATACAAACAATGAAAACGCTGTCGTAAAGCAATCATTCATATTTGGTGTCTAAGATGTGGCAACGCTCGTTTTCCTCATAATTGTAAACAATCTAACCTTTTCAACGATGAGTGTGCTAAGTGGTTTTTAAATTAATAAATTTAGCTGAAGACTAACAAAATAAAAGTGAAATGTGAACTTATTTTAATGTTTAGACCGTATTTTTAAATATACAAAGTGAAAGATGTGAAAAAGTTTAGTGAAACATTGAGAAATACTATGTGTTCAGAATACAAATTTTTGAATTTTTAATCGGAGTATTTTAAAGAATATTAGCTTTAGCAACATTATTTTTGCATATTCTTCCCCTGTAGAAGCTCCCCTGTCGCATACCCATTTATACCGAAATTCATGTATTTACCCGACCGTCAAAGTAATTGGAATCGTGCGACGCAAAAAATAAAAGTTATAAAGCCTTATTATTTTTTACTATGATAAAGTCCGTCCGTCGGGCTGCCGGTTCAAGCTGTACCTTGAGTAAAATTTGATATATCTTAATGAAATATGGTATGTATATTCCTCGGCAAAGTGGATGACGAGTTTGTAGATGGGTATAATCGACCACTGTCATGCCCCAAAAATCCATTGAACGAAAGTTAGTAGCTTAGCTTAGTTAAGATATAGAACTGTAATTTGTCACAAGGGATCGCAGTAGCAAGGGGCACCGGTAAGATAAATTTTTTGAAACAGTGGGCATCTATGTAAATCGCATGATAAATCCGCCCACTCTTTAAAAACTACTAAAAGTGCGATTAGTCAATAACCAAATACGACAGAGACATAAAATTTTACCCCGGGGTTTGAAAGAGCTGGGTAAAAATTTGTGTCGTGGCACCACCCTCCTTTAAGTGGAATCATAAATCTCCGGATTTGCCCCACCAATTTTAACAAAGTTCGGTATGTAACATTCTACTCACATTCGTATGTTACACTATGCAAATGGGGCTTCAAAAACTCTTATTTCATATATAACACATTCTTAAATTTCATTTGAAGAAACAATTAATATAATGAAATAAAACTTTGAACGAACAGTGCCTTTGAAGTAGTTCACCTTGTGACCAAAAATTGCCCAAATCGAAGCAAAACTGGGTAAGCCCCTAAGTATAAAATATGAGGGCCCATCGCCTATGGCTGAGATTTGACCGAAAATATGGGTCAATGGGTCAATGTGTGTGATAATACTTTCCTGATAATAGTATGTCTATGTGTCAAAAGTATAGTAAATCGGGACAATACATTTCTTCCTATTATAAAGATTTTCGAACTTTCGTTTGACTTTATAACGCATATATCGGCCAATATGTGAGTTGTCTTAATAAAATACAAAAAACGTTTTAAAATGAATATATTCTGATGAAAACTTACCCGAGACTGGCTTTAATTCTTGAAAGTTGCAAGAGTATTACGGTTATACCTGACCTTAGCGCTTCCTTACTAGTCTGTTATACATTTTTGCAGTGCTATTCAACTGTTCATTATTTTCTCAGTGCTATTCAGTTTCAGTACTACTGAAAAAAAGTTATAAGCATACAAATACAGGTGAAGCTAATAACAGCATTATAAAACCAGCCAAATGTATTTTGATGTCTGGGTCCTTGAAAATGTATGGTTCCATTTCGAAAAGTTTTGGGCAGCACATTAGATACCTTARGGGCTATACTTTTGAAAGGTAAAAGTAAAAGTAAAATAATCAGATCTAATTTAAAGTGGTGTTATATGCAAAGTACACGTGGTTCTTGTCCGATTTCACAGTGTATGATAGAAATGGCTGGCTAACCCCATATAAAAATTTGGTTGAAATTGATCAGATAGTTCCTCATATGGAGGATTTCATTTAAGGATGGGAGGCGCCACAACTATCCTATAAAGCTCTTTCCCAACGTCCTGATTGTGAATTTTAATGCTAGTTGCGCATTTATTCAGTTAGTTATCGCACAGCATACGAAGAAGTGCCAAAAAATTCTCCTCAGCAAATTTGGTTGAGTGACCTTTAACGGTTTGGGAGATACCATTTTGAGAGCGGGGCTACGCGTTTTAAAAAAAAAAAAATGAGCCAAAAGGTGTCCCTTAATATAAAAAACTAAAAGATATTATTTAAAGCACATGGAACTAAAAAATTAAAAAGTAAATATAGCATGAACAAGATAAATCACTAACTTTGGTTGCACCGAAGCTACAATAAACTCCGCAAATATATAAGGTTTTATACAAGAAATTGGTTTTGAAAGATAATTTTATATGGAAGCTTATAAGTGCTATAGTTGTCTGATCTGAACATATTTTTCTGAGGTTAAAACATTGCTTTAGAAGGACACGATGTTTTTTGTTCCGCTTGCTAGGTAACCATATGCTGTAGTGGTCCAATATCGGCGGTTCCATCAAATTATCAGTTTTTTAGAGAGAAAATAACGTGTACAAAATTTCGAATTAATATCTCAATAACTGAGGGACTAATTCGCATATATACATACAAACAGAAAGATTTGGCTAGTCAACTCACACATTTTATAGTCTATGATGTTTCCTTCAGGGTGTTTTAAACATCGTGGAATACTTAACATAAGCTGTTCAGGATCTATATAAAACTTCAAAACAAAAAAAAAAAAAAACGTTTTAAAGCACTTCAAACTAAAAAGTAAAATCATAAATCATAATTGTTGTTTGTACCTCATCTCCCTTGACTTTTAAACAAATTCTTATGCTATCGATAGCATAGCTTAAACCCACAAAAATCAATTTAAATTAAAATAAAATTTTGAATATAACGTGTTTAAGTGTAAAACGCTGCACTGACGTGGCATGATATGCAGAACTTCGAGGGTCTATCTCTTAGAATTTTGCTTCGATCGATTTGAAATTTTAGAAGAATATTTGTAACAAGTTTTACTATTTGCTAAGATGATTAGATTTTTTGCAATTTTAACCTTAAAAATCGCTGGCTCGAAACCGGTTTTAGATCCATAGTCCCTTAGGCAAAGCTATTCAGAATGGCTCATACAACATTTTCCACAATCGCGATTTTAAAGTAAAAATCCACCCGCTCTAATATACATTTATAAGTAAATTAACTAAACCCTTATCTCATAAAAATTATGAAATAGTACATGTTGATAGCCGAAGTATCCGCACAGTGGGCTCAGTACATACATACAAATTAGTACATACGCAAAATTAAAACGTTGACGTTAGGGATAGCAGATGTTATATATTCATGTACAAAGACACATTTATAAGGATTATTTTTGAGTAAAGTGAGAAAAGCACCCACAGAATATTTAAAACATTTAATTTAATAAATAATATAAATATATAAACAATACTTCGATGAAATTTATTTTGTAATACTTCTAAACGCAAGCAAGTTAGTACAAAGTTTACGTTTACTTTAGTCAAATTACGAAATTTAGTTCAAAAATTAAAATAAGTTTGAAAAAATGCATATTCCATTCTCCAAATTTCGGTATAATTGGTAACTATTCAATAATTGATTGATATTGCTATCGTGATAAACTTCTACGATTAATTTCATCCGATACTGGTGGAGTTAATGTGAATCAAATGGTTAAAAATAATACAATAATAACAAGTTATACATCTAGAAAAATTTATGTAAATCCAATATAATTCATATAACTATTCCCAGTTATTCTTTATGTGCATTGTATCAGTGTGTGACTATAGGTTGTATGTATTCTGAACGTAAGTGTGTGTTAATGTACACTTACTTTCTTCTAATGCCATATAGTTATCCACTTAAGTGCCCTACATTCATACAAACATACCTCTCTATGAATGTTTTGATATGAGATGTTTGCATTAATGTTGGGTTTTAAAAACTTTAACACTTTTATTTGGCTATAGAATGCTAGTCGTATAACGACATCATCTTTATAATATTAACAGCACAAAATTCAAGCATATGACGTTAATCCCACCGACTGTGGCTAACACTTGCTGGTTGTATGGTTGAATATATTTGATACAATTACCAGTCGTCTGTAACAAATGAGACCGCCGTTGCTTCAGAACTGCTCCTTTCAGGGGTTAAGTGCATCAAAAAATCACTACAATTAAATTAGGGTGTGATGGCGAAACAATTGTCCCCAGAGAAAAATTTGTGCACAGATTGACGCGAAGCTTTAATGGCACCCTAATTGAATGTGTAAATAAATTTGTAGATTACTCATGGGGTCGACAGCTACACTTCACTCATGGACAAGCAAAATGAGACAAAATAGTGGATGTAAATATTCAAAGGCATGCTGCACGCAAAGTCAACAAAGAATACATCAGTTGTGGGCCGGATTAGAGAAGAGTCTGATATGCATTTGAACATTTGCAATTCAATGAAAATAAATTTAATTGAAACCAACTTAGCAAGTGTATTTATTTATTGCAGAAATACTTAACTCGCACACAAACCGAGTTTGCTATTCACCACAGAATCGATTGGTCCCTTGGAGTCAGCATTCAGTAGTGAATTCGGCGCCAAATGTTGAGTCAACCGGATCTATAGCTGCTGCGCGTTCAAAAAGTCAAAACTTAGGTTTAATTTGTGTAGTTTGTGGAGATACCAGCTCTGGGAAACACTATGGAATTTTAGCTTGCAATGGCTGCTCGGGATTTTTCAAACGAAGTGTTCGGCGAAAACTCATTTACAGGTTAGTTTGATACAGTGCTATGGATTCATTGTTTTTGTATGTATATTGTGCTAAACATTTTTCCAGCTATTTTTTATTCTGGCATTGAAATATTCATCAGGTCAAGATAATTTTTCGTAATTTTTATATACAAACATAATTGCATTTTTATAAATCATTAAAGCAAGCATTTCGAAATAATTATCGGAAAAATTCTTTAAGTGCTGGCAAAAATTAATATTAAAAAATCTGCGAAAGAATTAAGCATTGTTCGATAAAATCGTGAATAAGTTAAAATCAAATTTTGTTTCTTCTTGACTTTACATTACGACTGTATGTGTTTTGCCAATGCCTAATACTATTAAGGGGTTGTTAGGTGGGTTTGAAAATTTTCAAAAATCTATTCTTTTTTTGTTTGCTTTATTAAATTCTACAATACCTCTAGAATATAGTCCCAAATTTTAAAGTTGATTTGAGTAATAATTTCGTAGATACAGCCTTGAGAACTTGTGCACTCAAGGCTAGCTGCGCTAAGTGCCCTGTCTTTAAATGCGTTTTTCTCGAAACTGTGTTTTTGAAGTCGGTGGACACGATTTCTTATCGATTTCTTGTTATCGACCGATTTAGTTCGTATTGTGTACACGTTTTGAAATAATATTATCTAGTTATTGAACGAAGGATTTTGTCTTGTTTCATTACTACTTACTTTTCTGACCAAAAAATGCCGAAAATTTGACCAAAAATGTAATTTTTTGTTCAAAGTCCGATAAAAGAAGGACAATTTTAATATTTTTTTATTTCCTACGTTCAAAAACGAGATTTAGATATGTACYAACAGAATATGCTTAGTTTTTTAATTTTATATGAACCAATAATAAGTTATGCTGTCCATGGCGAGAGCACTTTTTTGTTCGAATATATACCTTTGATATAACATATCATATTTTTCAAATATATGATTGCTTGTAGTAAAAAAAATCGTAAAAATACTTTTTTTGTACCTCTGAAACCCACCTAACCCCTAAACCTACCACAACTAATAAAACGTTCGGTGGCCTTCATTAAGGTACCTCACATATTTTTAAGGTTTCGACCAATTTTATCTATTTTAAGAACAAAGATACACTGTAATAATAAAAGCAAACTATCTCATTTTCATTGAGTTATTGAGACCCTCACATATTGGTCGATATATGCGGTATAAAGTCATCCGGAAGTTCGAAATATTTGTATAAGGTATATGTTAGCTATTACATTTTTTATTGGATTTGGACAATTTTTGATTATAAGGTGGCATATTTCAAATGCACTATTCGCGTAAAATTTTATCTCGCTATATTTATTGCTTTTTTTATACGCTAGAGAGTGGAAGAATCAAATGGAATTTAAAATTTTGTCATGTGTTATATTTGCACTGTAAGATAGGAATATTAGAATAACGATTCATCGGAAGGGTCCCGAGATCTGTTATTTCCCAAAAAGGACAGCGCGCGTCCAATTTTTACCCCAGCTCCGATTTCATTGATTTTTACAACATCGGTAGACATGCTTAAGACATTTTTCCGAACGAATTAGTTATTGAGGCTTAAGTGGTTAAGGATATATGTATATTAAGCCAATTAGAGGCTGAGCCACGCCCTTTTTTTAATTTTAGCTCACAGGTGTCCGTTGCTACCGCAATGCCAAATTAGAGTTCAATATCTTAATTTAGTGCTTAGTTATTACACTTCATAAGTTTTCGGTTAACAACGTTTTATGGGCGTGGCAGCGGTCCAATAACGTCTATCTACGAACACCTGCGTTTTTTTTATTACGATATCTCAATTTTTACTCAAGTCACAGCTTACACAGACAGATGGACGGTCCGACGGACAGACGGACTTCAGAATTTCAACTCGTCTGTCATTCTGATCACTTATATAGTTATATATTAGGTTGTCAAAAATGCCTTGCGGTATTTTCGCTAGTTGGCGCTGAGAGCGCGTATTTCTAGTATTATTCGTCGCATTGGGTCATGTTTTACCTTTTTGGAAAGCTCATTTCACGCGCTAACACGTGTTTGATTGATTGTCGTTTCTTTTAAGTCGGTCGTGAGGTATAGCGTTGCAAACATGGAGCAAAACAAAGAGAAAATACGGCATATTTTACAGTACTACTACGATAAAGGTAAAAATGCATCTCAAGCCGCCAATAAAATTTGTGCAGTTTATAGACCCGATACAGTTTCCATTTCCACCGCACACCGATGGTTTCAACGTTTTCGTTCTGGTGTAGAGGTGGTCGAAGATGCGCCACGCTCCGGAAGGCCTGTCGTCGCTGAACTGGTCGAAAGAGACCGGCATAGCAGCAGCCGTAGCATCGGTCAAGAGCTGGGCATGAGTCATCAAACCGTTATAAAATAAAAAAAAAGAAATAAAAAATACCGCAAGACTTTTTTGACAACCTATTATATCGCTATATCTATGTATCTCGATTAGGTTTAGGTGATGCAAACAACTATACTCTGTATCAGAATATTGCAAGATTATAAGAAAAACTTCCTTTTTTTAATAATATCCGCATTAGGTACTTGGTTATTCTGCATATACTCTCAAATGATTGATAAACCAATCTTAATAAAAAGGGATGAAAAACTGGCTTCACGTATTCACTATGCCCCATGTGCACATTATAGATGTATATATATATGTATAAGATACTTATATATGTATATTTACTCTACAAATTCCGATAATCCATGACTTATATACATTGCACTTCCCTTCATCCCTTTTAAATGGCTCGAATACTGTATTCACACACTCAATGTTATGCGGTCACATTTGGTTTAGTGTATACATCTTAAGCTCCATATCAATCCCTGGGGATGGGATAAAGTAAGCTGACATTTGCGATGACTACAAAGATATTATTGAATAAAAAAATCAATTCTAGTATTACAGAATTATGGTTTAACTTTGTTTTTGAAAATATTTACTAAATATGTACGATGAAAAAGATATGTACCTATTGGTGCTGCACCGATGWATGTATGTATGTATAATTAAGAAATGCAGGTATAATTAGGACTGCTGATACATGCATTTAGAAAAGCCTCCGAAGTCAGGGTGATATCGTTTTCGGATTCTAATTGAATTAGATTGACAATTATAATGAAAATAACAAGCATAGATATTTGAAAAAGAAATAAGGAAAAAGCAGTTGGTACCTAGGCCGTATAGGCTATTATGAAACAACCCGGACTAACTTCTCTGTGTTCTTAATAACATTCATCAACACAAAAAGTTTTGTTTGTGCAACGGCAGAGACATCGTAAATTATTCTATAACATGTTTGTCGATTAAATACCTGTATCTACAAGGAGCCAGAGGCATATAAATTCTCTCTTAATTTGTAGAATGGTGCCTGTTCTGGTTGGTTTATGTGCTTCACAGTCCCCAGGAATATCACTATGTCCTGGGACCCATTGCACCAAGAGATCAAGGCGCAAGGAAATTACTAAAAATCTTGGAATGCGCCTTATTACAAGCTTGACAAAACCTCATACAAATAAATTTGGGACAGTTTTAAGAGATACATGGTAAATAAGATTTTTACTTAGTAATATTATTATGTAATTCAAGGTTATACAATGTCTTCATCCAGTAAGAATTCAGTAGACATTTTATTTAGCTTCAAGTGAGTTTACTCTGAAAACTCTGTGTAATGCCAAAACAGATCTTAATAAAAAAGCTTTTCAGCAATATTTTGTATTTTCTAGCGATGAGAGTTATAAAAGTTTGCTGCCAAAAATGTGCTGTAATAGTTGATCGAAACATTAAGAATTGGGCTTGAAGGAAGTCACAAGTCTATGCCTTTTTAATGGCAATGTTTTGGAGTGAACCTCAGGTTTATGAATAATATTATTATTTCCCCATGACATCAACATGTGAATTCTAGAAAAAATAAACATAAAATTATATATCTGAAAAATAAAAATTCGTCTGGTCTAGTTTTATGCTTTCAAAATCTAGTGCACAGTTCCTCGGATCACTTAACAGGGCTTCTTAAAAAGTTGAGTTTTTCAATTCATATTCTGATGAAAAGAAACTTTTCATTGATACCTCAAAGATAAGTTTAAAAATCTTTTCAGTGCATAATGGCAGTAAATACATAGTTGTTTCCTTTGCCTATGCAAAATACAAATATTTCTTGAAAAATGTCTTATTGCCAATGGAATATTTGTGCTGATTTAAAAGCGTTTGCTATACTTGTTGGATTGCGTGGCTGATTCACCTTTGGTGTTTTATATGCTAGTGAAACAGTAACGCAAGAAAAAAACATTGTAAAGTGAAATTTTGTCACTAAGAAAAGGTTTGACACCGAAGATATGCGATCTTATGATGTGTGAAGCTCTTAATTCAAGTTGAACATAGCAGAAAAAAGAAATTTTGAAGTTTTTGAAAACGTATGTCATAATTTTCGGGGTAACATAAAAGCTGATAACTACCGACAAATCATTCGAACTCTTCTTTCTGCTTACGAATAATTGCACTTCAAATTTGCATAATTTTTTGTTGGATTTTAGTTATGTAATTAATACTTTGGGAATTTACCAAACTTTTGAAGCATTACCTTATTTCTCTTACTCCTCAACACCAGCACCATCGTATATATCTTCACTAATATAGAARTTTTTTCAAATGCTGATGCATGAATTATTTTTTCAACAAAAGTTGTTTGTGCAGTTAATCGGGAAAAATTAAAGGTATAGTTTTTTCAATAACATATATGTACATATTTTTAATCAAATATCCGGAGAAACCAGTTTTTTTGGCTACTATTAAAAAAGCATTTGATATTTTTACTATCCAATTTTTATTATTTGTTTATTTATATTTGAAGAGTACACAAAATTAATTTAAAACAAGTAAGGAAGAGCTAAGTTCGGGTGCAACCGAACATTTTACACTCTTTCAACTTCCAAGAATCAAAGGCAGAGAAATACTTTAAGGTGCAAAACCAATCAGATAGAGAGAGTA